ATGGAGTTTTGCCCGGTTTTACAAAGTACACCAGATTCCCGAGGTATAAATCCACTCAACCCTTCCTTCATCTCAATCAATTCAATTCATATTACCTTTCATCTTCTACATTCTTCTCTCACAGAATGTCCATGCTAAAAAATCGAATGTTACATCCTAATTCCAGGATTATCTCTTTATACTTGGTCGTCGCTGGAGTAATTATCTAAAATATAGGTAATTAAAAAAACTAAATTAATCAACAAGTATCTACCGACCAGCGTGGCCGATGTGGTGAAAGTGAAAGACAATTATGTCTGAAAACTCGCGGTTCGGAATAACTTTGTTGGTTCACACGAACGAAATAAATAAATATGTCTTTAAATAAATACAATTAATTTATTAATATATGATATTATGTATGTTGTTCATGTCAAAATTGTTTCTGCGAACATGAAAAGCCCTAATAGAAATGTGACAGGCCGCGTTGTTCGGAAAACCGTCGGCAAAGGGCACTTGCATGGCGCCCCTTGGCAGCACGTGGCTTCACCAAAGCTCCCTCCCCCCGCCCCGCCCTATTGCACCCCACCCTTTGGGCGCCTCGCTCATTCGGCTTACCGTCAAGGGAAGCTTACAGCGCGCAATAAAGCCGGCATGAGCGCAGAAGTTAGGAAGGCAGAACAGTTAGAGGGTTCGCGATAGGGGCTGCACAGCGGCTTTTGTAAGGCGAGCTGGTCCGGTACGAAGGCCCGGGCGGAGTTGAAAAAGAAATCATGCGTAGATACGTTTCCTTTTCGTTAGTTTAAATGTTTGTACACATTTTTTTGTGGGGGGAATCCAATTACGTACTTCAAAATATTGTTTCCAAAAATGCCCAAACTTCTTAGCAATTTGCAAAATCATTGCAATACACACCATCGTTGCATTAATCCACTTAACAGAAAAAACTTTTCCCTTTTGAGTTTCAAATGCAACTTCCTTTGCGGTATGTTCTTGTGTTAATTGTTCAACACAAAATCTTATCAGCATCTTAGTACGACTATGAGGTTTGCTTAAAGACTACCAACTCTGTTTTCTCGTTCTTAGAAATTCAAAATTAAACAGCTACACGTAACACAATGTGCTCAAATATGATGCGTAAATTTTTTGAAAAGAAAGATTAGTTGTGCTAATTTTTCATTATACTACATTTCATACTACATTTCACTATACATTAAACTACATATATGAAATTTCAAATATGCTTTAAAATTTTAAAAAACTAATTTACTTATGTATGATCAAGTATTTGCTGTCAAACAGCATTATTTATACACTGATATTCAAAAACTTACATATTTTAATTCCCCTGTCATTACAACCGTGTTTGTAAAGACACCACAAAAAGTTAGGAACGTTTTACCGCACGAAAACGTGCCGTTTACTTTGAACATTTTTACAATACATTTTTGCATTTCGAGTGGCCAAATGCGTGCTAAATGAATTACACATTTTTATATTTATAAATTAATTTTAATGTGAGTATGCTGAGTTGTGTATGCTGAAAATTTATAGTTAAAATAACATCACAATGATCATTTAATAATATTATCATTCTCTGAAAATAGCTCATTACTTTTGTTGGGTTACAAACGTAATTTTAATTTTCATAGTTTTAGAAAGGATTAAAAATATTTTATATTCGTTGATGAAGATAAGCAGGAATTCCTTCTAACGTATGATGTAGTAGATGTATGCAGCATTATGAAAGTAGTTTGTATCAATTGATGTTTTTAAAAAAAAATAGAGAATAATGGATTTAGTATATAAATGATGCCTATAGATATCTAGTTGATACATTCAGATCTAACTGTAGATATTCTGTGAAGCGTTACTGGTCACTGACACTACTTACCTCACATATTCAAAGAACGTCGTTAATTTTTTTGGTCCCTTTATTTACATTAGTATCTAACTGGAATCGTGTTTATTAAAAGAGAGCGTTTTATATAGAATATTAAGTTCTTCAAGAGACCCTCTGCGCAGTGTATTAATGTCGCAAAACTCCTATGCGACATTGGTACAAGAACAAAACATTTCAATAGCAATCCACGGAATTAATTCTGATGTACTCGCAAGCACGTATTACTGAAAAAGAGGAAACGAGAGAAAAAAGTACGGAAGCATACCAACTAGCTATGGAGTGCAGGATTTACCGTTCTTGTTCTATGTCGACTCTGGGCCTTTGAACTTACGAACAAAGTATTCCCTGTAATCCCTCTTAAGTGGGTGCTTTTAGAAACGCAAGTCCTGTTGAAAATTGTGTCTCGATTTCTCCATCTCTAACTCTTCGTACTTCACCAACCGCCGCGGTAGACCTGAATTTTCCACTGACATAATCACAGACTGTATATTAAAAAAATTAAATTACAAGCTTTTGTGAAAGCAGTTTTAGCGAGTTTCCATTTTTATGTTCGCTTTGTTGCGGCTAACGTGAGAGTGGATTTCTATTCACTTATTAGTCATACATTAATGCAATTTCATAGCAGCAAAAACTAATTTCGGAGGGCGAACTTAATTACTTTTCGGAATAATCGAATTTTCTTTTCTTTTTACATTTTCCTATTATTTCCATTTGGGATTAATAGTACACTTAAAAACAAAACTTCTGTTTGATGATGCGTGATATATATCTTTAGGAAATACACTATAAAATATTTAAAAAGAATAAACGCTTTTCAGTCTTCACTTACCCATGGATTAACACGTGTAAAAACATTTACATATATTATTTAATTATGAATACAATTTGACCACTCCATTTTCTGTTTTTGTACTATTTTTATTTCACCTCACTTTTCGGAACAAAACATTAATCTAATTCTGATGATTCATCTCGTACGTTTACTGAAAATATAAAGACATTAATGGAGGTAATTGTTTACTTCACGTATATTGTAATAAAAACAATTATACATTTAATGCAAATTAATTAAAATTATTATAATGCTACTGAGTTGGCTCAATTACACTTCAGTACAGTCGCGGGTTTCGGCCTCCCTCACAATGAGAGCGGTCAAATTGTATTTCGGTACACAGCGCTCATAGGTTGGCACAGATAAAGCGGTGAACCGCAAGTGCTACAGCACACATCGTCTAATTCACTAGTCTCGATACGCAACAAAATTACACAAGCGCCAATCAGCATTGGAAGCAAAATGTCGACGATTTGGTGTGAGCCTAAATGCAGCTCTCGTGAACGCGCAAGAAATCTCCAAACAGCAAAACATTTAACAAGCATATACTATTGCGAAATAAACTAAAACACATGTGCAAGTTCGAAACACATACGAGGACGTGATAAGGGAACACGGGAAACGAGATTGCGTGTGCATTCAAGGAGGGAGAAAGTGACAAAATTTACAGTCGGACAAACGGACAAACAGAGAGACACAAAACACAGACACAGAGTCACAGACAAACAAACAGAGATACAGGCAAACAGAGACATTGAGACACAAACACAGCCAGCCAGGCGCGCCTCACAAGACGGCGAGGCGCAAGACTATGGACCGCACACCCGAACTTTCAGCTGCGAACTGACTCCAGCAAAGGGTTCCTGATGACGCGGTTTAAACAGTGCTGAATATTGTAGCTTCTCGTAATATCTCTGGCTCCTGGGGGGAATTAACAAATGACAGGAGGAAATCGAGAATAATGAACGTACACGAAAGAGAGAGCTCTATTGTCATTTCTTAAAGAGGAAGTTTGTAGTTACTGTGCTTGAACGCGTATCACATTTCATTTTAATGGGCGAACAACGCGGATTTCTGCCGCTCCGGAGAGCGGCGCAGAGAAACACACCTCTCGTTAGGGCGGGGGCAACATTGTCACCCTTCGACTCCGGCGGAGTCCTTTAAGACGAGGGTGAAGCTACGAGCGTGAACATTCTGCTTGCTCTCAATCACAGGAGCTGATATTTCTAAGAAACGTCGTTCCGGAGACGTGGATGGCTTCCAAGCAGATGTGCATGATTTCATGCGTGAACTGTCTTAAACGACGTAACGAAAGAGAAGGGAGAGAAGAAAAAGTAGGTGACAATAAAAGTGTCGGTCAGCTATTCGTTCCGCGTTTTTTGAAGAAAAATTAGAGGCAAAGCACCAAAGGAGCCACCTACTCTGCAAGACGGAGGGGCGGTTCGAAAGCGGAGCGGATATGGTTTTCCCATCTTTGCGCTCGGGGCAGGCGGAGAAGAAGTGGACGCCTAAGGGCGAAGAGGGGAGGAGGGTGGCCCTCCGCCAATAGCCGTCCATTTCCCTCACACAGACGTCTTCAAGCGAGACGTCAGAACAGCTTGCGCGTCCCTTCTCACTCGTCACTCACTCGCACAGCATGAGATGTCTGGCAGAACATTCCGCCCTATTTACATACCATTAAGGGAAAAATAAGCGGGTCCTGAGAAGAGCAACTTCCTCGGGCCCGGCCTTACAAATAACTACGCGGGCCAGAGCAGCGCTCGCCCAGCCAGCCCTTC